CACTTTTTTCTCCCCCAGAATCGTAATTACTTAGGTCCATATTGTTGGAAGTCCAAATTGATTTCAAACAAGGATTAATGTAAATGTCTGCACTTGCTTTATGGACAATAGCCTCTAAAGATATTTTCACTGTTTGATAGTGAAATGAGAAAAAAAAGCTATTTATAACAAGGCCTTATGTTATGTACATACATTGTCTTTGAAATGTGTGATTTAGTTTATTGCTTGTAAAAGAGAAATTATATAATTTATTTAGTAAATACTACTGTAAACTATAGTTTTATTGACAGAAATAAAATATTTTGTTCTCAAAATGTATGGTGCATCATTTCAAGCTGTTTCTGGTCTATACGCTTCCTGTTCTTGTCCTTCTGAGCCTTTCTAAGAGAATCATTATTTATGCACTGTGCCAAACAGTATATAACAGGTAATCTGTCCCATATCGCCTCACATAGAAAAGAGGGTGGAAAAAACATTTTACTAGAAGGAGAAAGGCAAAGGAACAGATGCAACATGTATGGTTTGATAAATGTTGCAGATCTCTCACCATGTGCAACACTTGCCAGGCCAAAAAAGGTAGAAGCAATCTGTTTCTACATGGAAGCAGAGATTAGTCATAGCAAGGTAAGGACTGCTAAGCATCATTCTAAGAATACAGACCTTGATGTGGGAGCATATTTAGGAACTTCATAATGCCTCTTTAAGGTGTATGGAAACTATTGGGGATGAGTATATCTCTCCCAAAAATAACATTCCTTGCAGAGTGGATAAAGTGTAGGACACTGGAGCTGCACTTCTGTAGAACCTGCCATGTGAGGATTTTCCCCAAGCTTAACAAATCAAACCTCTGTACCTTTGTGAAGTAGGTGAGCATTATCCCCATTTTACAGATGGGATGGACAAACCGAGGTCATACAATTTGTTCAAGTACATAGAAAATCAGTGGCAGGACTAGAACCCCATCTCCTAATTCCTAGCTCTGTGCTTTATCTACTCTCAGAAAGACAATAGTTCCCAGTGGCACCATGGATCTTAAGCAACAGAGAGATCTATGCCCTGTGACCAAAACTGCTGCATATAATGTGTATATGTGGGATCATTGCCTCCTGCTTACTGCATAATCTATAACAAATATAGAATATGTCTATGTACAAAATAAATTTCACTTAAATGTTTTGTTTCATAAAAAAACAAAATTCCTAGTTTTTGGCATCAGAGATTTTTTTCAAAACAGATAGATGCTTAATTTTTCTTGGTAGATTCATGTCAGTTTTCCAGTTCTCTAGGACTACAGAATGCCCAAATCACTTATCCTTAGCAAGACCCCAGAAAAAAGAAATGTATTGAAAAGTGACCTGTCTATGCAAGGAAGCATTTTTATATTGTATAATTCTCAAATAACATGCTTTCTTCTGTGTGGCTGCTTAAAAGGCTTCATAAATGAAAATGCTGTAATCTTCAATGGGAATTTGCTCCACATAAAAAGATTACATAGCATGTTCATGTGTCACCCCAGCATGCCTGCTTTCCGCCTTGAATAGAAACAGCCATCCAATGCAGACAAAAGGAAATCCAGGTTAGATTCCAAGTATTAGTGGAAAGATTCTTTTCTTTCTAAGGCTCACATTCTGAAGTGTGCAGTTCCTGTTGATATGATTTTCCAATCAGTGCAGCCAATGGACTTTGTGAAAGGAAGTCCAGTGGAGCACTCCTGATGGCCAATGGTTCAAGCCTGACCCAGAGAAGGTCTAATGCGCTGTAATGCCTGAAACTATATGAGAAAATCTTACTGAAAAATAGGTTTGGAAGGACTCTGCATGCCTCACCCTTAAGTAACTGGGAGCTATTTAGTTTGCACGGATGGCTTTTAAGTAAGTTTGAAGGATCATTTTATGCACATCAATAAGAGTTGAAAAGGGGACACCTGCCAGAAAAAATTAAAATATGTGCAAGAAGGCCTGGTCACCAAATATTAGGTTTTCTGGTCTAGAAGAGGTTCATCTTAGCTTATTTCTTCAGGTCTGGGCAGCTGGAACACCCCATAGGGAACAAAATGTGAAGAAGTAGGACACAGAAATGTGGCACTATCTGTATACACAGGTATTTAAATTCTTTAGTTTAAATATGAACCTCCCAGAAGAAAAGGCAGAAAGTTGATGTCTACTAGGGGAATGTACGGGGAATAATTTAGGCTTGTTATACGTGACCTTGTAACTGATATTGTTCTGTAATCCTGTGGAATTTTGAGGGAGAAAAGTAAATCAAGGTGTCATGTGCATTTAACAAGATTTTGTGGCATACTCCCTTGACTGAAAAACTGGATACTTCTGCACCTCTTCTAAAATTTCAGTACTGAGAAAACCACCAAACTCCTACTTTGATGTATTATTTAGGTAGTGTTGGCTTTACTATACCACAGGATATCTTTCACCATTACGTGCCTCAACCCAGTGAACAGCAGACAGTGATAAAGAGCAAATCAGCAGCACTCTGTCTATTCAGCACATAAGCCATTTGTTGAGTCATTTCACGATGATGTGCACATTTGCTTTCAATATTCTATCAGCTTTTTCCAGACCATAAATAAAAGGCCTGACCCTGCACACAACTCCTTTTCATGTGAAACTCTTGTAGAAGACCATGGGAATCTGCATGCAGAGGGCTTACAGAACTGAAGTGTGCTATGGTTTTTACAGAATTTTTTTCAACTTTCTATAATTACCTTACATGATTTAAGTCCCTCGTGGGACTTGCATGATTAAAACAAAAATTAAAGCTTTGAACTCTATATAGGAACATCCCCCAGGGGCTCAACATACTTTTAAAAGATGGATATTGTTGCTCTCATTTTTCAGGTGGGGAGATTTAAGACACAGAAGGGTTCAGTATAGAGCATTAGACTTGGAGGGTAAAATTCATCCCTATGCAGAGAGCCAGCATGCAACCTGTGCATCACTTAAGCTCTATTTTGAAGACTTAAGTAGTGAATAGGCCTTGTGCTACTCTCTGTGCTAAAGCAAATATCACCCTAAGAATTTAATGCCACTGTGTTGGGGTGTTGAATTTTACCCTTAGCTGAATCAGGACAAATTCAAAGATACTATGCACAACCTCAAGAGGAAAAAAAAAGTCTCACTCTGCTTAAGAATTAATAAACATAGGTGATAATGACTGGCTAAATATTCCTGAACTGTGTAGACTCAGGATTATGCCTTTTTAGCTGTACTAAGCCCCTTCTATTTGGAATTAATTACCTAAAGATGTGTGTGATATTAGAGCCAGACATTATTTGGCTGGCTTTCGGTAAGTAGTCTTTTAATTTCATACTTAATTTGCTGATCTGAAGCTATTTTTGTGAACACTTTGTGTTCAGCATATAAAAGGCAAATGGTATTATAAATTATAAATGAAAAGACTGACTTGGTTCTTTGTTCTGAAGGGGGTAAAAGAAATGATGAGAAATCCAAGTAACAATAATTGCAATGTTTAATGAAGGAAACTCATTCCAAAAATCTTGAATTATAAATTCACTCTCTCACACACACAGAGAGAGAGAGAAAGAGAGAGAGCCTTCAAAACATTATTTTAGCTTTCAGATATTAGCTAAACAAGACAGTCTCAATACAGACAACTGGCATATATAATTGGTTGCCTCATTCATTCATTCCTGCTTTTAGTCACTTATCCACTCAATAAATTAGTTTATCCTTCATTAGAACACAACCCAGTCTCTGCAATTACTTTGGAATTTTGTGCATTCAAGCTTTAGTGACTTTGCACATTCAGAACTCAGTTCTGTGCATATGAACTATACTTGCATACACAAATTGATAGAATGTAACTCTTGTATTTGCATGCACAAAGCAGCTGTAGTTTGTAACACTGCAGGTGGATACTTCTGAAAATCTGGTCTGAAGTATCGAACATCAATTTCATTCCCAAACACACTCACCACAGTATAATTTCAAAGAATTGCAGAGAGGATAGCTAAATAAGACTCCTTCTCCCTTTCTTGTGATAAATTTAGACAATTTCGCCGATGAAATTTGCTTTCTATACTAGGGAAAAAACAATTTTGTTTAACTTTGTTAGTTAATGATTTTGCCCTTAGTGTGGACAAAGATAACTTAAGAACCTCAGTTACTGCACAGGGTGAATAATCTTCTCCTTTAGAACAAATTGTGAAGGAAAGAATAATTCACAGAGATAAATGGTAAAGGGAATGTAATGCAACACACATTTAAAAAAGGTAGGTTGATCACACCAGACTAACACGATTTCTTTCTTTGAGAAAATAACTGATTTTTTTCAGGTAAGGGAAGGGCAGTAGATCTAATATTCTTGGACTTCAGCAAAGCATTTGTCACAGTACCACAGAGGAAATTATTTAGTGAAATTAGGGAAGAGGCAGATCAGTACAAGCATTGTAAGATGGATAAGGAACAGGCTAAAGGAGAGAAGGCAATCAGTTATGCTGAAAGGTGAATTATCGGACTGGAAGGAGGTTACTAGTGGAGTTCTTCAAGGATCAATCTTGGGGGGGGGAAAGCTTGTTTAATATTTTTTTAGTGACTTTAGGTCACAAAAAG